TGCTCCCTAGATCCTTTATTTCTCCTCACTGCATGCAATTGTCGTAACTCTCACACCTTCAGCACATGATTGCGCTGGTACGGTTTTCGGGTTCTGCTTCTTTCTTACTACTTTTCTGCCTAGTAGAATGGCTTTGACCAATGCTGCGGCAATGCAATTGTCTTCCTTTTGGTGCGTGTTTGTGTATGTGTGTAATCAACCCCCCTCTATCCCTGTTCTCCTCGTGGCCTTACTAATGAAAGCGACAATCGTATGCTCACTTATATGTGCTAGGACTCGGGTAGAATTTCTTCCTTGATTATCTTATACATTTTCCACACCAGTTTGTTTTTTGATCCCTACTTACTTTACTGCGGCTAGCCCCTGCGACAGCATGAGCCGACTTTATGAGTGTCGCGAATCGCAGCTGCCCAAGCGCAGCGGTCGGCGACAAGCTCCAAGCAGATATTGATCCAATGATTCCTCTAGTGACGAGCACCATGCACAAGGTGGAGTCCCAGCACATCCACATCCGATTTTACTGCAGTGAGCCACCTTTTCAATTATCCACCACAGCGACGACACCAACTCTGGCAAGGCGAGGGTGAAACTACGGCCCTAGTGAAGTCAGTGTCTGGTCTGCAGAGGACGTGACCGAACCACTGAAGTCTGCGGGGTTGGACGAGCGTTGTGAGCTTCGGAAGATGGTAACAGCGCTTACGGATTTCCTCATTCGTGATACGCTGATGCCACTGCGTTTTTAAGATAAGCCTTAGACACCAATGGTCGAAAACTTCCAGCTTCCGGGTGTCTTCGGATCACAGCGGCCATGTTTCATAAGCATAAAGTAAAATATCACGAATGGTTGCTGAGAATACTCCGATCTTTGTTCTCAGACTAATTTCCGTCCTTCGCCACAATGTGTTTCTCAGTTGTAAGAAGGTTGTTCTAATACTATCAATATGATTCCGGATTTCAAATGTAGCCTGACCACTTAGGAGTACAGTGGATCCAAGATACTTGAACTCAGGAACAGATTCGATGAGTTGTCCAGATAAGGAGAGAGACGGGGCTGACTGCGTGGCTAACGATGAGAAGTATTTCCTCTTGCTAATGTTAATTTCGAGGCGGATCGTAGAGGCTGATTGGTCGACCTGATTTAGCAGTGACTGTAGTGATATAGCGTCTTCCGCAAAGATAGCGATATCGTTAGCAAATGATAGATCTGACAGCCAGAAGTCAGGGTTAACTTAAACACGACGATAGCCCTCAAGGGCATGATGCATAACCCAGTCGAATGTGAAGTTGAACAGCACTGGAGAAAATGGGCACCCCTGCCGGACTCCAGTATTGATGTCGAATTCCTCTGTTTCTTCTCCATAGACCCGAATCCGAGCCATCGTGCAACGGTAGTATGATCTCATAAAATTAACGAGTTTAACTGGCACGCCATCGGCAAGTAGGATTCTCCAGAGTACTTCGCGGTCAACTGAGTCAAAGGCAGCTCGAAAATCAACGAACCGCACAAACGTGGGCTGTTGGAACTGGTAGCGATGTTCGAGTACCTGACGTAGATTGAAGATTTGGTCAATGTAGCCTCTGCCTGGACGAAAGCCACCTTGGTTATGGCGAGATCGCAGGTTCCTCTCATTGGCAAAGTGGGAACGCAAGATTCGTGCAAAAGTTTTGGCAGCTACATCGATTAGGCTTATCCCGCGATAAATACTGCACACATTTCGATCACCTTTCTTGGAAAATGCCAGTAGGGCTGAGTTACTCCACGAGGAAGGACAGATTTCGGTCTCCCATATCGAGCAGAAGATCTTGTGCAAATGGTGAAGGAGAGCTGATAGACAAGACTTGTATATTTCCGCTGGAATCCCGTCTGCTCCCGGGGCTTTCTTTGGCTTCAGTTGACGAACGACATCTGCAATTTCTGTGGGAGATGGCGGTGAGCAATCCGCGTCATATCCCGGCTGGGTTAATGCTGAAATGGGTACGATTGTATGTAGTGGGCGATTTAGGAGGTTGCTAAAATACTCTACCTATCTGGAAAGTTTTCCTTCCGTATCGGGGATAGTTTGACCTTCCGAATTGCGCAATATCGGCTGTGGTGAATGGCGCTTGCCGGAAGCTAAACGGACGAGACGAAAAATTGGCCCAAATTGCCAGAATTTGATGCAGCTTCCATCTTGCCTGCGATATCAGATCAGTAGCGGTTGCGATTATTCCGTGCTGAGCGCGTTGCCTCACGTCTCATACGACGGTAGTCTGGGGAATTCGTGAGACGTGCTTCTCTCGCTTTAGCGGACAACCGGATAGTATCTTTAGTGATCCAGTCCTTCACAGGCTTCGAGGTAGAGCCAAGGGTAAATAAGGCGGCGCGTTGAATAGACGATTTTAGCATGGACCAACGAGCTTCTACAGATTCCTTTTCTGCAACTACGAGACGTGGTGCACTTGCAGAAATTTCTGCTTCTATTGCTGCCTCAAGGAATCGGCAGCAGTCAGTATTTTTCAGTGGGGAAATGTTGCTACGGTTTGATGGAAGGGTCTTCCGACGTGTTGTCAAGCGGAGTCTGAATTTGGCGCAGGAGTACGTGGTCCGGACCATCTTTATTGCCTGTTTCAGCCCCTCTGTACACTCGACAGTCATAGATGGAGGATATCCACCTGGATCGGATTATGATGTAATCTATCTGGCTTGCTGTACGACCATCGTTAGAGTACCACATCAGAAGATGCTTTCTGGGATGCTGGAAACGGTATTGGTTACGCTCAACCGGTTAAGATCAGCGAAGCTGAGCAAGCGGTCTCCATTATCACAGCGCTCTCCAAGGGCGTGTCTCCCGAGTATGTGATGTTTTCGATCGTTTCTAGGATCGGTTCTCTCATTCCAGTCCCCAGCAATAATGAGGATGTCGCGTTTTGAAACATGGTTCACCACTGTCTGTAGAGTATCATAAAATTCGTCTTTGTCACTTTCCGCTGAGGTTAGGGTTGGTGCGTAGACAATGGTCAGATTCATCGGGTGACCTCTGAAGCGTGCAATTACTATTCTAGCAGATACTGACCTCCTTGTAAGGAGAGCATCGTGTGCCTGGCAACTGATAGCTATGGCGACCCCTTGATTGCCATAATTATCTTCCGGCGCACTGTGCTAAAGACAATATGAAGTGTCTACACCAAGGACTTTGATTTGTCGAGAGCCATAGCCGGGTATTCGAGATTCTGATAGGCATGCTATGTCGAGCTGGTAGTCATATAGTGTGTGCATCGTCAACGCTTGGCTGCCTACATCCAACAGGGTTCTGACATTCCAACATCCTATGAATAGTGGCTTCCGGGGATTGAGGAACCCAGATAGCTTACTTGTCACTCTGACCACTGGGTTAGCGCAGAGCGCGTCGCCTACTGGGAACGCCGTAGCATGAGAAGATTCGCAGGTAACGAACATATCATAAAGTTTCTTGGGGATTATGGGTACGTATGGGGACCCCAACCTCATGCGGCTTTTGTTTTAAGGTTCACCTCTAGCCTTTGCACAGCCAAGTGCTACCTGCAACGCAGCAGGGATCTAGGCAATTGTCTTAGCTGTTGGCCGTTGGATCGAAGGTCGATCTCTTCCACCCAGTTGTCATTTGATCCCTACGCTACGGTGCTTGCTATTTCTCGGCAAGCGGTAAGTTTCACGCAGTTATCAAGTGTTTTATTGTGCAAATTCATTGGTTTACAAATGTCATATTCCGTTATCTACAATCTCTCTGACACCCCATTGAAGTGATGCGACTGCACACCATCATCCTCATCAGGAACAGCTGCATTGGATCAGTGCGTTATTCTGTCACAGAAGTCGCATATATATATATTCGCAAAAGTCTACAAATAGACATAATGCCATCAGAAACCATGGGATTCAAACGAAGGTACAGAAATAGTAAAATAAAACATAACACAACAATGTCCATGGTTTCCTCAGAGGGCGAGATACTACCCGGTTGCCCAAGCCGAAGTAGGGTGTTGACTTAGGGGACACCACCCCGAGCCTTTGGCTGAATAGCCTGCCCGCAAGGCAGCGGAGCGAATTCAGGGAATCGCGCCCATTGGGAGCCGGTGACTGATTGCTCAGTTCATACGCCTTTCGTTTGTTCCTTTGTCAAACAGGGGCCCAATGCTCCCCAGGAGTACAGCATAAGGTTGCTGGAATACAATGCTTCGCCAGGATGAAGCAAGGGGCAGGGACTGTATTTAGTGGCGAGTCACGTCCGCCACGTCACAGTGTTGTTCAACGCACATATGTGGTTTTTTATAGGGAGAGTGCTTGTCAGATTAAAACCCACCACGTGCTGGAAAACTGCTGCCGAACCACTCACACGAACGGGCAAATCCCGAACCACTCAGCTGGCACCACGAGGAGGTTGTTCGGCAAGCCAGCCACAGAAGTCGCATAGATGTGCCACGACTATAATGTTAAATTATTCCTCTCTGGCTTTTGAAATGTGATTCCTTCGCACATGCCTTACTTGTATCGAGTGGAGCCACCCGGTTCTTTGCACATCCGATCGATATTTGTTTCCTGGTGTTTCTCTCATCCCACGTCCCAATCAGAGCGACAAACTGGTTTGTACTCCTCCGTTTGTTCTTATTTTTCACCTTGATTGGTTTGCATTCAAACGATGCACTCTGAGGTGTCCAATCACGATTGAGTGGTTCCTTGCGGGTTCGCGCCCATCTTTTGCGACGGTTCGGTTTTGCCACATCTGGCGCATAGGCACATTTCGACTCGTGAACTGGCTACTGCACGAATTGCATGCATTGCGTTAACTGCCTTTCTTGGGAACAAAATCTACCTTGCTAACAAAGCAGCTCCTCTGCGCTAGAGTGATTTATCATGTGTGCTGCCTGCTGCTTTTTCAAGAGTTTCCTCATCTGCTATGATACTTTTGAGCTGCACACAATTTACAATTCATTCCTCTCTTTTTCTCTCTCCCTAATGTTTCCGTGGTATTTCATTCTACTAGATCATCCAATCAATCCTCCAGAAACGATTGGCGATCCGTTCGCTATTAGCTATTGGCCAGCGCGTATGCCAGTAGAGCTGGAATTTCGCAATGGTGTAATGCATGTGTTGAGTCCGGCAGATCCGAACCAGTCAACTGGGGATGAGAAGCCAGCAGTACAGTTTGTTGTACCTTCGTTGTCCTCCTACCTGGTTGACTACGAACTTATTCGCGCTTTCGTCGCTGATGGTCCGCTCAAATCATTTTGCTATCGCCGATTGTCTTATCTGGGATCCAAATTCTCACTGCACTCCCTACTGAACGAAGCTCGCGAGTCTTTGGAACAGAAACAAGTTCCTCACCGCGATTTCTACAACATTCGTAAGGTAAACTAACGAATTGCTCATTTCATGTCATCTATTCATCTATACGTGTGTACTGAGTAGCCTCTGTAGTGTGTTGGATATCCGTTTTCACAAAACTCTATGTCATTTTAATCTGGTCAGTTACAGACCAATTGCTCAAGCACGCTAATGTGGTGGCATGACACCTATCAGGATTTCACTCTGCTGATATCAAATTGCCTGTGCCATCTGTTTGTATCTACGCTCTGCAGTCCACTCAACCACTCACACTTCAAGCAACAATGTTCAAGACACGTGGTCATGTTGGCCTGCTTCACAAAGACTATAACAACTATACAGAGTGTATTAAAAATATATGAAACTTCGGTTATAAAGATTTGGAATCACCCGGGATATATTTGGGTGTTGCTCTTCCCAACACTGGAAGAATCATCGGTTTCACGATCTGGCAGTCGTGTGTAGTTCACATGTGGCACTGGCTTATCGATCTGAACGTGTTGAGTAAATCAACAACCACCGAGTTGGCCTATTTGCTCATCCACATCCACTTAATTGACACCGAGTCTTCCGGTTCGTTTTCTCTGTCTTGTCACTAGGTCAGTAGACAGCTCATGGGCTTCAGACAACAATCCGGCATTGGCGAATGACAAACATGAGGGTAGACGGTCGGGTAGCACTCTGGGAACGTTCAATCGGTAATCCAGTACCACACTGGTACGCCTGTTTTTGGGGAAAGTTGTGCTTATATTTATGCTAGAATACAGCCTGGACACCCAGACCTAGGCACAGGAATGATTGTGGTTCTCAACCGATGCCTTTGTTTGGAAGGTTTGACTAGAAGTAAGCGGGGATATGGCTATTGGTCGCTTGCTAGGGCACTTTTACGGAAACGAATGCCACCTAGCTTCTGACCTGCGACCTATTAACATCTCACGATAGGGTGAAACAAGTCACTTTTATTTTACGCAAACAGTATCGTTTTGCTATTTGATTGGCACAGAGCGAAACAACCAGCTCTGAGTACATTTTCTGAAGCGATTTCCTTCTCTGATGTGTGCTTTCACTTCAAAAGCTCGAATCACCTACGGAACCATACAGAAACCTGGTTCAGCATACGCAGGTGCTTTTGCACTGGAGCTTATTCAACCCACAGTAATTCCATTCTTCAAGAGACTCATTGAACGGAGCCATTAGCATCAATATCGCTTACTAGTTACAACAAAATGCAGAACTAGAGTAGTCCTAACACGTCTCATGTATGCTGAACTCACCACAGCTTCTGCTGTGTTGGGGACGCAGTACAGAAGCTTATTGTTGTTTTGCATTCCGGTTACCAGACTCGTCCATGCGCATTGACCGACACCGGGAACACGCGCAGTTAACGGTGTCGAGGGGATCTTCCAACCCTGAAAGGATACTTTATCGCCTGTATTCGCAGGGGATTCGAAATGGTTATGCGCGCCACCGGTTGTCATTATTATATTGCTCTCTTTCGACAAACGAACAACCGCTTCGTTATTGTTCCTCACGCGCCGCAGAATAACTGATCCGTATTCGGACCGAATACGACTCCGCTAATCTTACCCACTGAGTGAGCGATAAATACGGCAACCATTTAAGAGAGTAACTCCAACACGATAGCGTTCCACGAACCTGTCGCAGGAAAATTCACACTAAAATACCGGGCGGAAATAGCATATATCTTTCATCGAAGCTTTCGACGCCCCCCATTTCTGTATAAAAAGTAAGTATATGTCAGTCAGTGAAAGTGTATAAGTGAAACAACGCACTATGGACCTCCTTTGTACTAAATACATTTGGTAAGGACAAAAGTTTCTGATTAGTGAACCGCTGCCAACTTGAAAGATATGTGTACCTATGTTTGTACATAATCTACCAGGCATAAATGCTGCGTTCCGATAAGTAACATTTGGAAATAGCGGTCGGAGACCGAAAGTAATCTCTTGCTCACGAAATCAGAGAACTCGTCCGGTAATTAGAGGGACTGTTAATGAATTACTGGTTGCGTCCTCATGACGTTGAATGTGTTTACGCACCAGACATTAAAACATATTTTTCTTGTCGGCCTTTCAGCTGGCAGATTCGTTGAACGCTACAACTCCACATGCGCGCGACTATGATGATCCCCGCGATTGCACCGCGATCCAGGTCGAGAAAGTTCTGCGTGCTTGTACTGACTCAACCAAAGCTAACCACAGGGTCATGCACGCGCGAAGTTATGACGCAAATAATATATCACATTGAACATCATCTTGGCTGGACAAAGTAGTCTCGACCCATGGGCGCTCTTTCAGAAAACATGTGTCTTCTCCGTAGCACATATAGCCATTGTTTCCGACTGTAATCGGCTGATGTACTCTACGTACGTGTTAGTCACGTCGGCCCACCCTTGTGGGTGTCCACTATGGGTCAGTCGACTCAGCGGTTACCCATTATTTTGTGCCAACTTGTCTATTTCCTCCTGTCAATACATGACCCCGTTCGCTCGACACATTGTGCGACGCAAACCGCATGTGAGGACTCAATATGCTGGAACCAAATGTGCTATCTACAAACACACGCGCCGATCATCCGCACAAAACTTGTACCGGATACAACCTCTGCCTGCCGTATTCCCCTATGCATCCAAAGGTTTTTCTCCCTCCGTTCAACGCACATAATCACATACAGCGGTTCACCACATCTGATTTTCCACTGTTCTCCCGCATTGTCAGTTCTCACAAGCATATACACGTCCCATCGCGATCTTGTCTTGCCATTTTGGTGAGCAAATTTGCGGGGTTGGTCAGTTTGCAACTGTGGTACAGTGTTTTGTTTGCCTCCCTTGGCCTCGTGTAATCCGGTAAATTGGTGTTGTCTGTGCGATCGGGAATTCGCCAGCTGGACTATACCACTATGGATGAGGGATGGCGTACCTTGAAATCAGAGGCGTGCACGCTCCGCACCGTTATCCAGTTCAGTTTCTCCGTTTGGGCCCGTGTACCGAGGTGCGGCAGATCGAATGTGATTTAACACACATCGCTATAGTGATTAGTGTTATTTGAGAGGCTCATAACCCTTCCGGGTTATGGGCCGGGGAAAAATGGATGGCGTCCGAAGTGTGTCACCTCAGCTCCAGTATCTAACTTGTATGGCAAATCCTTGAGTGCACCTAACAGCAACCCTGCGTAGCCTTTTGATGCATATCCTAATGCTCCTTTGCCATCTCATGAATCGGCCAGTTCGCAGTTTCGTCCATTTTTGCCCAGTATTGACTGACAACACAGGTCGCGGAAACCATCTCGCTGGCATACCGAGCTACTGGGGGCGATTCGAGTGTAACAGGTACCAAACCACCAACACTTAATACTGAAGATAGAGAGCTATATGTATATTGATTTATTAACGGGCACGCACGCGGAATAACGTTATTTAATTCCACATATTGGTAATGCAGTTCGGCTTGCGAAGTCCTATTATTCGGGTGCGATGTGCTCTCGAATTTCTTGAATTCTGATACCGATTCCGCCTCGACTATTGTTTTGGGCAAACGGTTCCAATATTTCGCCACTCGATGCTCGAGGTATAGAGCCGGTACCGCAAGCGTGTACCGGTGCCCTCGAGTGCTGATTGGCGCGTGACACTAGGAAACTTGCTAACAACCACAGTGATAAATTCACTATTACTCATTCCTTTCTTCCATCAGAAATGAACAACACTGCGTGGATATTAAATAAACGAATACTTTCTCTCTGTTTCTCAACCATGCGAGAGACTGTTCCCACATTGTGATAGCTCAACAGGTAGACATCTCTGATTGTGATAGGTGCACAAACTCAACAGTTAAGGTAATCTACTACAAATGCTGAACTTGCATCACTTGTGAATTTTGAAAAAAATACTAGTTCTGTGCAATGCGCTCCTATGTCGTCCAAGCTGAGATTGGAGGAAGATCACCTGAGTGTGTGTAGTTGACAAGCACGTAAGTAGTTCTGTACATTACTGAATGGTCGAACTATATGGCAAGATTATGTCAGTATCACATACTCATTGTATTCATGGATGGAAGCAGTCACCTTTTCTGGTGTGGAGTTCATCTTGTTTATGTAAAGGCTTTCCTGTGCCAACTTTCGTTAGTTACTGGTTTCGGATGTTCCGTATTGAACTTCTCTGGTTCAAGTTTCGGCAAACCATACGGCGTATCCCAATCGAAAACGTAAGAGAAACAATCAGTTACTGGGACTGTAACTGACGAAGCAAATGGATACTGAGTGTTTCCCGTCCCGAAGCGACATCGCATCAATACAGTGTCTTCAGCGCGCCATCCTTTGGTCCATTTTCCGATTCTGTATGTTTAATTATTGTGGATCATTCATACTCCCCAGTATCATGTATATGCGAAATTGTGTGCGCAAAGCCATGTATCAAAATCACTGAAGACCTACCTAGTACCTCAAACCCATGTTTCAGGAAATGCACTCCCACATGGGTTTCAACTGTTTCGATGGTTTAAGGCGAAATGAAGCTGGTGGAGATTTCCCTTTCTATGGCATCAGCATATTCGTCGCTGTAACACCAACGGTTCAATGAAACACCAACACAGTCAATCTCCAATGCCCTACGCACATAGTGGCCAGGCCTTTGATCCATACAGGGCGCTGGTCTCACCGCAGCTATGTAAATGCTTCTCTTAGTCAACCTATATCCCATCATCTCTATACGTTATTGACACTGGGGAAAAGTCCCACGAGCTTGTGGTAATTCCTTCGATGATGCGATCACCGCGAGTGATAGCATTCTTGCCCTTTGCTTCCATTTTGTGGTCACACACACACACACACACAACCTCATTATTGGCAACCCAGTTGTGAAGGTGAATAAAATGTGGAATGTCAATCGGGCTTTATCAATAGACCGAACCTGGAGACAGGGACATTTAAAGTCTCTCGATGTGCGTTCTTATGCGGGTTTGAGAGCAAATTATCTGAAAATCACTGGCTCCTCGGGCATATAGGCTGTATTTCGTTTTACGAAAGAAGTGGCAACTTTCATGGCTTAATTGTACCACTAAGCAGCTGCTTGTCGCCCTCAAACCTCTGTTACGCGAATTCCATACTTCCCTCTTCCGCTTTGCTATTTTCGAAGTTTGTTCAGTAGAAGCGTTAATTTTTAACTACTTATTAGTACTTATTAGTGGACGCAAACGAATGCTATTTGCCGTGTTTATATCGAGTGACTGGGTCGTTTCCTCGTTCAATGACCCATCAGCCATGTGCGATTTCTCTGCCCGCCTCTAATTTAACTGTGTGCCTACTAACTCATGCCTTCTGTCCACAACGCAAACCGACCACGTACATTGTTTTTGCTCCTCGAACTGCCTCATAATTGTGTCTGACATGTCTGTTACATTGTTCCGTATTATACGACTTCCACTTTTCACTTTCAGGTTGACACACATCTGCACGCTGCCTCGTGCATGAATCAAAAACATTTGCTGCGCTTCATCAAGAAGATGATCCGTACAAAGGCGGATGTTGCCGTGTGTTTGGACCAACAGACAGGACAGCCAATGACGCTGCAGGAGGTTAGTGCTGCTTTACTTATCTATCAGTTGGTACACAGATTATAAAGCATTGGGTCCTGTGTTCACTTCTGTCAGTTGCTTTCTTAACACTAGCCTAACGCAGTAGTGTCCGCTTGCGGGCTGTGTAAGGCTAGGTGGCTCTGATGTTAGTTTTGTTTGAAGTACCTGCTCTTTGAATGGATTATTACGCCTAGTCACAATTTAGGCGGCGCTTTACTTTGAAGTAAATCTCGGTCATTTCGACCATTTGGGCTACATCTAAGACGGTAGTGAAACTTGGCCCCTCCGGTCTGAAGATCTGAGGCGCCTTCAAGTCTTTGATCATCGTTGTTTGCGAAGCGTTGCTGGTATCAGATGGCACCGGCGTAACCCCAACGATGATGTGCGTAGGCGAGTACTAGGCAGTGATAATCATGCTAGCACCCTAGAACAACAGATAGCACTGAATAAGTTGCGTTGGTTTGGGCACGTGCTATGCATGCCTGGTCACCGCTTACCTAGAAGGGCCTTCTTTAGTCTGCCAGGTGTAGGATGGCGCAAGGCTCGAGGTGGACAGAAGTTGACTTGGCAGCGGGAAATAAAGTCACTGACGACCAAACTGGGTGCCGTTGGTCCGTCTCGCCTTCCGGGGTGGGGTCCACATGACTCACCGTTTGCTTGGCTCGAGACTTTACTGGACATGGCTCGCAACCGGCACCAGTGGCGCGTCTGCTGCCGTCTCCTAATTGGATTGCCTGTTTACAGTGTGTTTGGTGCTGAGTTATCTGCGGGGTAATGGCCGATTATGACGCGTGGCAGTGAAAGCCACAAGGAAGCTGTCTCGCCGATACCGCCTTATCTTTGCACGATAGCCAGCTGTTTGTGACGGTATGTTGTCTACACAAGGTGTAGGCGCCTTGACCCTGAATGTTTGCTTAGGGCATTAAGGTTTTCAGGTAAGTCCCCCTTCTCTCCCTCTTCTTATTCTTTATGTCATAGGTCCTCATGGTTGTATGGCAGCGAAGCATCAGTTGAAATGGCTGATGTACTGCTGTTGATGATGATGATGATGATCCTTGACTACAGTAACGGACACCATCTACGGAGCTCATCGGTTTCGGGATATAGCCGTCAGCCGACTCACTGGAGCGTAACCAAGCGCCGAACCGGTAATGGGGTGTGGACTTCCAAGCGGTCAACATCCAGCAGTTGACTGTCACGGACTCGGTCCCAGTGACGGCTTTAGTCGAGTTTTACTTCATAATTATTTGTATCTGCTTTTTCTGCTATCCCGCCACCAGCATTAAAATAGATAAGTCGGTGTACCTTCGAACATTCTGGGAGAGCGATGCCCAGCTAGCCTTTATATGGAACATTCCAAGCGTTGCGTTTCTGAGTAGGTACCTGGGACTGGCATTTTCAAACTACAGACTCACTCTGCGATCGGTGACCTCCCATGCCTGGGCTCTATCTCCTTCGTGCTCACCTCAGCTTCCGGACCTGTGTGTGTGTTTAGTCGCAGTACTGTATTTTGTCAATCTCCGCCCCCTGTGGCGCGGGCGTGACCTTACTCTCGTTCTGAATGGCAGAGTTTACGATGCAGCCGTCCGTACAACCCTCCAGTACGGTTGCAAGTCGACAGACAGCGAGGCTACTTACCTTCGACCATCGCTGCCTTCGCAGCTTAGCTCATGTCTGGTGGGAACACCGCGTGAGCAATCAACGTGTTCGTCGTCGTGTATATGGTGCAGGAAGAGCGAGTGAACTACTCAGCAGCGTTATATCACGAACCAGGCTCCGATGGCTGTGTCACGTGTTACGCATGCAAACACACCAACTCCCGCATCATGCGTTGTTTGCGCGCAGGTGGTGTGGATGGTCGAAGACGGGATGAGACCAAGCGATGGCTTGGTCAAGAGGAATGAAGTCGGTTGGTGTTTCCTGACTGCCAAGCTGGGGTCCGAAGGGCGATAAACACGTTTGGTTGTATATACCAGTTGGCATGGCAAGGAGCCGACCTCAATGGTGTTTGCGTTGTGAGTCTTTGTCCCTCCCCCCCTTTTGCTTCCCCTCCAACAACGATCACAAACACAATACATAGTTTGATTTTGGAATGTTACTTTTTTGTCTTTTGTAGCCTGTAATGTTTCATCTCTTATTTTTTATATTACACCTCATTAGCTGAGGTGTGTTTATCACTCTCGACTAACATATATTGACGATGCTTGATGATGCTATCATCGGCAAAAAATTTGCGGAGCTTACAGCCTCCGCAAAATACTCACATCTTCTGTTTTTATAGTTACTGACCTATTGAAGTGCTGAACGCGGACGTATGCTACATCGGCCTCAGTACAGGCTTAAACCGTTCAACCCACTTAATCTAACATCCCGTTATCTGGTGAAAGTTCTTCCATCGAAATAGTCGGGCACTCTTCAATTGCTCCACTCGTGTCGACTTCAGGATGAAGTTTTCTGAGAGTATTTCTTTATGTTACTATTTTTGTTGCAACCTTGGCATCACATTGGCTCATATAATCGTGCCAGTCGCTCTTTCTCCTCACATTGCAATCCCTAAGTGAAACGGAGTTATCATCAGAATACCGGTACCAATTTCCTGGACGAGTACAGTGATCTCGGGTATTTTATCTTTCGTATAACCTCCTTCCTTCTCTCCACAATGTACTTCGTTCACATTCTAACTTCTTAACCTGCTCGTCAGTTGCTTATCGTGCTTCGGACTACTTAACTATCTTATCTTACTGAATCCACCGAACGGCATACTATTGCTTTCGATCAGTCAGCGTTTGCCACCACCGCCGTCAGAAGCGAACCTGATTGTTGCTTTGGATTTGGACCCCTCTGCAAATCCGTGTCCAGCGCTTTTCCAAGTGTACGATGCCTGCCTGACTAGATCTGGATGCTGGGAGCCTTCTCACGATCCTCCGAATACCCATATTACTCTGTAGCAATTTGTAATCACCCGAACTAGCGTGTTATGCAGCGCGATGATTAGTGATATAACAAGGAAGTTGTAGCTCTGAGAAGTCATCCCTGTCTCCTGCACTGTGGTAATCTGCATAGTAGGGGAGGATGAGTCGCACTATCGCATCGCTCATTCTTATTCGCGGCATCGTTCAACCTCATCCGTGACTGAGTAGCCTAAGTCCCCGACTTGTAAGCGTAGAACCGCAGGTTGGAATACAGCAGGATTCGTCAGAACTCTGCATTGCTGATGAATCTCGCCATAGTTTGCGCGTTCTGTTCGCTCTGGTAAAATCTTTGCACCTAATTATTGGGCTACTTTACCCCCAATGTATACTTTCACGTGAATTTCTCTGCACTTTGCAGACGCTGTGATCAACGAAAATGACTAACCATGGTATCGCCCATAGTGGCTCATTGACACACATACATGAATCATCCACACACATTTCCTGTTAGCAAAAACGGTTTTTCACACTGCCACTTCAGTCGCTTGGATTACTGAACAATGAGTCATTCCCAGTTTATCATTTTGGAAGATTAGAAAAGCTTCACGGGCTGGTACTTTGGTGGGATCACTGTACGAATGTTGGAGAAGGCAGCCCCTAAAAATGACATCAATTTCCAGCTTGTATCAACGACGATCATTGCATTTTCTCTTCTCAGGTTTTCTCTGCCTGTGGTGCTTTACTTCACAATGACAGATACATTGTTTTGTTCGCTTCTAATTGGCCTATCATGCTTCACTCACACTGTTGTGCCTTTTAAAGTTGTTGTTGTTGTTATACAGCCATAAATTGATCTGTTTTGGTCTGCCATATACCCCGGTTTGGGTGCCATTGAAATTTCTACACGTTGTTTTGTTCTCCACGTGTTTTCCTGGCGTAGGATGAGGTGCAGACAATTATGGAAACGAGATAGTCTGCGAACCGTAGTGATCGTTGTTGTTCCGTTGTGGATTACCCTTCACGATACGTAATCCCGATCTGCGAGGGTTACATCCATCTTCAACCACTCGATTGATAACACGTTACCGCTGTTTCTAGCGGAACTATTGTGTAACTTCATCCATCTTTCCATCGCTTTATCATTATATGCATATTTTATCGACATCGTACGCATCGGCGTTCGGTAGTGCATCGTTTCTCTTCCACCACTTTGTTCTGTAGTCTTCAAATTTTACACTGTATGTGCACGTTACTTATGTTCTTCCCTGCAACATAATTCTCCGTTTTTCCTTTTTAGCTGATCGACCGTATCGGAATCACACCCTACGATTTGAGCATAGACAGTATGGACGTTCACGCCGTGAGTCGCCTCGATTATTCCACCATTGTCTGTTGTTTACTCATTTGTTTACACCCGTCAGCCATGTGTGTTTTGTTCGGCATGTGCAGTGACATTGTGTCAATGGATCTCGCACCATGTGATCCGCTATCCACCCGCGTTTGGTACACAGCGGCAGTTACCGACTCACCGTACTCCATTCGCTGCACCACCGGCATCGGTGGCCACATCGCCAACGACAATCCAGACAAATTGGCAACTCCTGTCGGCTATTCGGGATGAAATTTCAACTGGTGTGTTTATCGGGTGTTGATTTGTATTGGGGCACCGTAGTATCGTCACCATCTGAGCCCATAAGCTGCGTAACATTCGGACTTCCACATTCAATGTAATATTCTTGCTTCCGCTGTTGATGACACTGACACCGTATGAAGTACTGTTCTCATGAGACGGACTGACGGACACGGTTTTGCCTCCAAATACTCCTTTCCTCCCCCACACTCAGGTGACCAGTTGGCCGGGGGACTAGTGCTGATCGTTCTGCCGCTCTCTTCGAAGTGCAGCGGCAAAACGTCGCGTTCGGGCGCCATTCCCCTTACCGCTTCGGAAGTACCAATCTCACCTGTACACCAATCAGTTTGTATATTTTTGAAGCTACTGCGTAGGCCGATCTTCAAGCCTTTATCAGTGTCCTTGACTCACTTTTACCCAACATGTAAGTAGCATGTGGTACAGTTGGCAGTCCTCCTCCTCCTCTTGCACTGCCATCTGTGGTTGTGGACTACGTGCTCACAGGCCGTTAACTAGGGGATTGAGTGTTATTGATCTCGCAGAATTATGGGATTTTCAGGTAAAACTACCGTAGGAAGGAACTGAAGTGTTGCTCGCCGATATGCTGTGTCGGCCAAGTACGTTTGCTGGAGAACAGCCGGTGAAATGGCCAGACAAAGCTGCCAAGCAACGATGCAGTGATTCCCATGTGCGAACCTACCACACCGCTGGGTGCGGGATACGAATTCGGTTGATGCGTGTCCGTTGCCCTTACGTTGGGTCTGCGCCAGTCCGCCCATGCATGTGTGTGTGTACAGATCAGCGGATGCAAACTGCCGACAGCCCGGTCGCAGTATCTCATTTGATTCAGGGACCAGCAAGTCGGTGTATTGCATCCACTATGACGATAAGCGACGCCTGTTGTAAGGACGCAGGGTCTACTCGCCTTGTAACAAAATTGCCACAGTCGTATTTCGGCACTAGCCCTCTCAGTAGACCGCCGCTCGTAAGCCCGTCACACCGCCCCTGGTCATTCGCAGCCATGCACCACTGACTGCCTCGCTATCCGGATACAATACCGTCGTAAGCCTTAGAGTTGGTAGGTCGTCCAAAACCTTGGGCTGCGCCAGTGGAAAACTAGCCATAAGATCGCAAATGGGGTGTCGCATTACCGTGTTCGTAGCCCCTCCTCCCACTGGTGCAGTTCGCAAGGCATGCCTTTGCGTACATGGTAGTGCACTTATACCCAGTCGCATCAGGTGTTTGGACAACCTTGTGCTCCTAAGCTGCGTGGAAATAGCTTCAGATTAAGCATCGTTGCTGAATGCAGGCTAGGCCGCCCACGCGTCAACACCACACACCACCAACTCATACATTCATGCAAGGGTTATTAAGTCTACCGTCATTGGCTGCTTTGGGTTCGCTCAACACCAATGTCACTGTGCGTGCTTGGTGCGTAGAAATGATACCGGGTGCAATTCAATTGCACTATTATGTTCAATCGGCTTGCAGATGCAAATCAGGGCCTTAGGGAACAATTCAATTGCAGTATGGATGCAATCAATCGGGGAAAGGTTTAGAGGCACGATTGTGGGCTTTTGTCTCTGTCGTTGGTGCCATTTATGTACTGCTGATTTGCACTCCGTCAGTTTGCTCCAACCGGTTCTCTGCAACGCACAGCCGAATCATTTTCATTTGCATACCAACTGCTCATCTTGACATATAAATGTAGGTCTTCAGCAAATGGGTTTTCGGTTACCTGTATCGGTCGCTTTGACACAGTACCAATAGACAATTTGCGACCGCATCCGGCCCTCTCTCTGATCGCGCTCTACGCTTTTAGTCAGCAATTCGCCTTCAAAAGAATATGGGTCGAATTCTGGAACTGCACCCGTTTGGTTTTGTTCAGGAGAGGTTCGCATCACGAGATTTACCATACATTAAAGTGCGCTCTTTTTTCAGTATCCATTAAGTAATGGGGAATGCCACAAGCTTGAAAATGGTCAAAAGTGGGAACATCCTATGGATGGTCTGTCCGATAAAGAATCGTCCTCTATCCTGTAACCTGCGTTAGGGGCGCAATTGCTTGTTGCATTTCATCTACTGACTCACGGACAGTAAATATACACCCGAAGTGTGGTTTCCACACACTGCTTTATGGTGCATCTACAACGCAGAGTAAGGATCAACATGCATAAACACCGTCTCTCATGATCGCGGAGCGGCCAGGTGATACAAGTCATAAATTCCCCGCGAATCCAAGTCCAATCATCGCAGACCCGATGCGGATTTGGCGAACGGTTTTCCGTGGTCCGAAATGATGGGAGGAAGGGTAGGGACCGGGTGGTTTCCACAAACTGCCATCCACTATCGCCTTTCGAACAGAGCAATGGAATCATTTGTATCCTAATTAAACAATTATTCGTTCCATACACAGCTCAACCGGTCCCCCAAAATGACTGCCACGCTAGTCACAATTAAGTTCCGGCTCGTAGCCTGTCTTGTAATTCGTGGGTGAGGGTTCGATCCTGCGTAAGGACCGGGTGACGTTCGCAGTATCCTTAGCCGGCGTGCGACTATTGGTGGTTACGCAAGAGCGAAGCATCGGCACTGGGTACCGCTGGGTACTGCTGATGCCACAATTAGTTACTGGCTCTTAAGCATCAGAATTAGTGAGACCCTTATCAATAGGTATTATTGGCTTAATGAAAGTGTCAATCCTCGCAATTCGATTAAACTGCTTCAACACCCGCTTGTGGTGGAGACCATCAGGTATGATTGCATTGCTGTAAAATTCACTGTGCCTGAAAACACAGTTTCAATGTTTCTCGACTGAGTTCTTTGTAGCACCGCAGTTGGCGCGAATTTTGTACCAACCCGTACGTGTACTCTAGCATTACGAACTTCCACCGCGGCTGACTCAGTAGGGACCAAATACTTGAACTATTCGTCAGCAAAACGTCGGGCGAGCGAAGTTGTTTTTCGAGCTAAGGGGATCCCAGAGTCGAAAGACGGATTCTTTAGCGCTTTACCTTTCCCATAATGGGACTGAGCTACCGTCGTGTTTTTGAGGAGGCGAGGTCAGGTTTGTATTGTCCCATTAACCACTCATTGGATGCTGCTTGAGGTGTCCCGGTGGTGTTGCGCGATGAATCAGCATTTCCATCCTATGATCCGTTTTCAATGGTACATCTCGGTCGATAGGTAGCCAAGCTTTGAGATGCATGTCGCCTTACACCTGCCTTTCCAGTCAAACATCAAACCAAGATTCTTTTCATCCCACTCAGGTAATCTCGCTTGCCAGCAGCAAGTTTGTAGGCTCTGGCGAGTGAAACAAAGTGCTTACTAAGAGCCACTTTTCTTATTCTCAAAGCACTGCGGTGGACCGTGTTCTGCATGCCAGTTAGGTGAACTCCTATCTAATAACTATGTGGTTTGCTCTACATACGTAATTCATCATTAATGAAGAGTGCCAAGTCGTCATCATAGTTTTAAGCACTCATTTTCTCTTCGTTGAATTGAAACCCGTCGATTTGGAATAGCTGAGGACCTCGTCCACCAGCGTGGGAAGAGCAGAGGTGACAGCTGATTACCTTATTTCACTCTGCGGTGGAACTGCGTTCTTTTCGGGAACTGCACCTTACTGGACGAAACCCGTGAGCCATTGTGTTGATATTATGAGAGGACTTAAACAAGTTGATGTACTGATTGAATCTTGCTTGTGTGTAAGCTTCCGCCACCTGGTGACCGGCGACCCTATACAGCAAGCCACAATGAGGGACCAATGTTGCTCATACATTCCGTTTTTTTAACCCACAGATTCACTCCCTACCGGGATGATTCCATGGTCTCCCGTGGCGTTTTACTCTACCCTGTAGGTTTTTCCATTGGTTTTCCTTACCATCGCTGTTTATTCCTGTCTCGCCAACGCTCGTCATTGCAACTTGAGCTACGACGCCATGGTTGCCGTTGATCCGTGAAACCATCTTCCCTTTAAGACTCAGCCATTGTTGTGTGTATTCCGATCACTGCCATCTTCGTTTATACCCACTGTCATCACCCTTGTGTGATTCCAGACATAGCCGTGATGTGACACGGTTGGCACTGTCCATTGTCACTGGTTGACAATGTCTGGGTTATCTTACGTATTGACCAGAGATCAACTGTCAATCAGACGCTGTCATCTAGCTGGTTGTAATGAAGGTGCTACGTGCCGCATTCTATTCGACCGTGCGTCGGATGTCTGGTGCATCAGCGGAATTCCTCGGATGGACGCACGCCAGTTTCGACTGGTCTATTCTGTTCGTTTAGTTGAAAACCTCTCTTTCACTCCACGACAACGAGGACTGATCGCTGTGCCAAAGGGGAAAAAATTAATTGGAACTAGCGTATTGAAGGAATACCTTTGAAGCACATCATGATGAATGTAAAAGCACTGGGCTTCATTTTGCCAAAACTCCCACTTACTACCCACATCCCACGGGATTTTCGGATGCAGCTAATCAAATTTAACTCTTGAGGGCTTTATGTAGCCAGGTTATATTTTTATGCTCTCCGGTTTGAGGGGCTTTCCCAGTACCTAGCAATGTCATTCTTGAGTTTGTGATTGCGTTCATTCTCTCCATTTGTTTGTACTATCCTCTTACTAATTTCCCTGTTTTTCTTGAAAAAGCCTACACCTTATTTGGGTGATCGATAGAAATTGGTTCTAAATACAGTGGCTTATATATTGGTTTTCTAGACTTGTTGAT